AAACTATAGAGATGCCCACGTAGTCGAAGGTGTCGCCGTAACGCCTCCAATGCGTCATGGCCTTGGGCCTTCCGAAGGTGCATCTCACAGTCAATAAGGAGGGCGTCGCATGAGAGTTGACCGAGAACCTCAGATGGTAAGAGCAGGGGAGAAGTGAGAACAGACATGGCATTGTCGACATTACTGCTCAGGCGAGAGCACAGGGCTGCAACCCCAGGCATGTAGAGGTTCTGGATCTCCATCCAAGCCTCAAGACGTCACTGCAAATTATTTTGACGTTCAAGGACCTTCACTTGCTGGAGGTCTGTCGAGTGCGCACCCAGCTCAGCAGAATCTTCACGAAAACGACATCTGTATGCATCGAATGATCCATGAGTGCCATATTATTGATAATATATGATAGCTGACTCACTGTAGTTCCTCGATTTCCAATCCATAGGTTATCATGACGCTTCGGGAGATTTGATCATGAACTGGTGCGGCTTCCCCAGCCTGGAGCCGCATTTCATCTTCTTGTGCCAATTGGAGGCGTACGGATGCCTGCGTGACCGCTATATGCAAAAAACGCTCTGAGAAAGCTGAAAAATATCACAAAGTTCAATGTACCTTTACAAGTAACCTTGTAAGGATTCGGACTTGATCGGTCTTTTTCCCATGTCTCCACGGCTTTTGTCCATTGTTCAATAGATGCTGTCGGTAATGCTGTGATGAACTCTTTAAATGCAGTGACATGGGTGCTGCATTCATCGATCACATTTTTCACCTTCGAGAGTAGAGATGTGGCTAAAGAACAGTAAGTTACTAGCACATGAAAATCAGATGCACACCTACCGAGTTGAATGACCTTTCCCCAATTATATGCACCAAAGACGTCGTCGAGTAGATCGCGCCGGGAGCCAGGACCCATCTCCTTGGTGCTTGATGCAAATGGATTGACGGCTGACCGACCTCACTCGACAGCTTCACTATCAGTGCAGCTGATGTGCAGCGTGGTGTTGAATGAATAGTTTAGGTGGCAAAGCTCTCGATGAGCAGGAAGATGGAATTTGGGAATCAGAAAGGTGACAACATGCCTTTCAAAGTCCCACTGAGGGTTGTATCACCGCATTCTCTTCCAGAGATGTACGGATCACTGACACGCAATGTCATATGACACCACAACAGTGACCTGACCTGCCTGCTTCATGCTGCTGGCAAACAGGTAATCCATATTAACGTATCTTAAAGGTGCATTCAGCATATGAGGAATCACAAAAGAATCAAA